CATATCACCCAAACCCGTCATTGGATGGACCGCTTCATATTTTATCACCTAAAAAACTTTCAAAAATATATGAGGGCAATGCACCAAGGGGTCTAAGTTTTCAATCTTAAACCCAAATTTTTGTTATTATTTCAGCGGAAAAAGAGTTTGGTGTCTGTTTAGCGCAGAAGAAATATGTCGTTTCTTGGCAGCAATCTTAAGAAAGTAAATCGCAACGAAGAACCACCCCAAGAAAGACTATTCGATAAAAGTAAACATATGAAATCAACAATAATTAGAAGTCAGTTCAAAAATCGATCCACAGGCCGAAACCAAATAGAATTCTTTTGGTTCAAACATAAGCATCAATCGATCTAGACACCATTCCCCATTAAAATTCCCTCATTCCAAAAATCTCTACCGGAAAACTTAATTTTTCAGCGCATGTAGAAATCCCCTGATCAAGTTCGAGTCAAAACCGTTCTATATTTGCTATGAGAGACGGATGCATTTGAAGCCAGAGGTCTACAGCTGCTAACAGCAACCACCTAAATGGCAGTGCTATCGAACGTCCCCTTTTCTCGAGGGCTTTTAGGAATAAGCTGGTGGCGAGTCTAACTCCCTGATACATATATCGTACTAAACCCCTGATACATAGGTATGTTTATAGACATATATAGTCCAAATCCCAGTACAAAATTGCCACTGAAATGGATGAATGAATCGTTGAGGGACTGGTTTTCTCACCGGCGGAGTTGAACCCTGGACCTCCCGCACATCAAAAGTGCCACTTATCATGCACTAATACACTATGCCCGCGTGTTTAAGAAATATTTAAAAGAAAATAAATCAGTACGAAAATAACTTTTTCCAAAATATCTCCAGGCGATTCAAATGTCAGCTGCCTGAGACTTAGATTACTTTGACAGAACCACAAGGTTAGCAGTTCTCTTAGGCAGTTTTCCAGTGGCCGTAATGCAGCGCTTTCTGTTCGTGTTAAATCCGATGCGCGAAGCATTTCCTATAAAAACGGAATAATTTCATGTAAATAAAGTAACTGTTCATATGAATATTAATATGATCATAAAAATCTCTCGTAATTGCTAAAGTATCTTATCGCGGCCTACAAGTGGCAAAAACCGGATTCAAAAAAAATATGTTGCGAGCCATTCTGTATTTCATCCTTATCTATAAACACAGACAGAGCAGAAAGTTTTTTAAGGCTAAGTGATGACGCTCAACTTCCACCAGGGACAACTCGGAAGAGCTAAAACCTTGTCATGCAATTCTATTGGGATAATTGTTGGTAATTCTGCTAAAAAAACGAAACGAACGTTGGGAGTGACGGCATCTCTTTTATATCAAAAGCTAAAAATTTGAAGCAGAAGCTAAAATTATACCATCTCTGAGCTAATTAACCGTCCTTTTTTGAGAAAAATCAGAAAGCTGAACTGTTTAGCCTTAAAACAGCGCTATGAGTTGTTTCAATGTATCTTAGATGCCCTGACATCATGCATTTTGTGCCTGCTGAAAGAGATGAGCGGACATCCCAATTCTTTGATTCAGGCTTATCCGGGAAACCGTGGACCACTTTTTTTCTTTTTTTTTTTTACATTGCTTTCCAGAATGTTTTTTCAAAAAACGAAATATACCACGACATCAGCTCGCATTGAACATATCCTCTTTACACCACCCGAAATGTTACCAATGGATTGGAAGAGACGAAAATAATGTGGACGAGCAGCAGCACCAACGCTCATAAATGCTTGTTCATTCTGAAAAATATTAAAAAAAAAAAAAGAGAAATAGGCTTATTATTTGAGATGTCACTGGACAAATCATACCTTTCATGAACTTATGTTGACCACATTTTGGTCTTTTTCCACATGCAAAGAAAAAGGGCGTCGGCTGGGATGAAGATGTTGCACTACGGGACCGCGCGGTCAATTTTTTGCATAAAGCCCGGTCGTTTTTCCGGTGAATGCTTTAATCCATTTGAATGGTAAATTAGTGGTGGTACTGAGGGGTCTAACTCGCCATCAGTTTGCCTCTGAGCAACTCTCGAAAAAGCTCGACAGTTTTACCAGTTGGTGGTTGCTACTGACGGGGTGCTATGATTTGGGTTAGTTCAAAACGTCAAAGTGCTTCATAAAGTGCAAAAAATAAAGCAGAAATTTGGTTCCCTTAGAGATTTAAGCCAGTTTTTATGCGTTTTTTGCAGCAATGCAATGCGAAAAACGCATATTGACGAGAAGTTGTCTGT